GGAGAGGGAGAGGGAGAGGGAGAGGGAGAGGGAGAGAGACTTTCCTACCGTTCAGTAGCACCTATTGCCTAGGACTGATGTGGAGCATGAAAGATCCAGCAAGTGACTCAGTAACTTTGTGCTGCTGCTACTTTCTGCTATCTAGTGGCATGGTAATCTGATTGAATACTTTTGGGGAATCCAAATATGTAGCACAATCCACCTAAGGATCCTTGAATAATTGCCACATCTGCTGATAGAAGAGGCCAGGGAGATAGTTCAGTAGAATAGGTACTTGCCTGGCAAGCACAAGGGCCTGAGCTCAATCCCTGGTTCTGGAAAAAAAAAAAAAAGACTCTATGTGGATCGGGATGGCACTGTATGTACAGTGTGTGCTGTGGTCGATTCCCAGGGTTGCTCTTGGGATAAGGGTAGGAGCCCTAATAGTTTGTCAGGACAGGCTGACCCCAGTGTCCCTCACTGTGTCCTTTGAAGTTTTCCACTGCCAGTGGCCTGTATTGCTTGAAGTCTGGGTGTTTTTCCAGGCTTTGTTGGCCTCGTGAGCTGGGATGTCCAAGCTTTGTCTTGGAGCCCAGGCCTGGTTTACACTTGAGTTATGGTGCTGTTTGCAGGGCGTACTGCATGACGATGGTTTGATGGGCCTCAGATGCCACTGATGTTCACCCTCAGGAGACCATTTCTATGGGCTTCCTCCTGGGATCATAAGTGGAGACTAGGATCATGTGTGACCTTGTGCCCATCCAGTTGTCCACAGTTAGCCACCAGGTCACACTGCCAGGAAACCATGACATGGGCTTCTTGGAGGCTGCTTCCTAGGGCTGGTGCCATAGCTCTGCACACACACTCTTCCATGCAAATTTTAAACAGTTTTCTTTGGGGTTGACAACAACAGCAAGCCAGGACCCCCTTCCCAGTGGCCTTTGACTTAGCTGACCCCTCCAAGAATCAGGCTGAGGAATCATCGAGAACATCAGTGTCTTGAAGGTTCCAAGGTCCTGGCACAGACCTGCATGAGTCAGCACATTCGAGAGGAGGCTGACCACTTGCTCTCAGTTTACCTTCTTTTCTTTTCTTTTTAATTTATTTATTTGTGTGTGTGTGTGTGTGTGGCTAGCTCAGCCCACCAGGGGGCGGGGCTGGCTGGCATGTGGTGCTGGGGGACCGAACCGCGGTCCCTGTGCTTTGCTTAGCTTGTTCTAAGTAGGTGCTTTAGACCACTGAGCCATCTCACCAGCCCCATCTTTTCTTTTTTTGAGACAGGATCTCGCTGTAGTTGATGCCAGTCTTGAACTCACTATGTAGCCCAGGTTGGCCTCTTTCTTGTGACAATCCTCCTGCTTCAGTCTCCTGAGTGCTGGGATTACAGGAGTATGCCACCATGCCTGGCTGTGTATTTCTTTCTTAACTATACCACTTCTATTTGATAAGGGAGGCTCAGACCCTTGCACTTGCCAGGCAAGCACTTATTCTACTGAGCCATCTCCCCAGCCCCAAGAGAGGCCTTTTCTACAAATAAATATAGTCATATATTTTTCTTTAAACTTTTTGTTACTGAGGCTGGAGACATAGCTCAGTAGAATAATTGCTTGCCTGGCAAGTGCAAGGGCCTGAGTTCAATCCTCAGTTCTGCCAAAAAAAATAAATACATAAATAAATAATTTTTTTTAAAAATAAACTTTTTATTACTATGTGTTTGCCATACATCATGCTTACGTTATTATGAGTTGGCATATGCACATAACATATCTTAACCTTTTCACATGTCCTTCTCCTCCCTTCCCCTAGTTGTACAATATATGCTTCTCCATGGGGAATTTGCCCTAAGACCCCCAGTGGGTACCTGGAACCATAGATCATACTGAACCTTATATGTACTGTGTTTTTTCCTGTATACACATAATTCATGATAACGCTTAGTTTATAAATTAGTCACAGTAAGAGATTAACAACAATAACTAGTCATCAAATAGAACAATTACAACAATATCCTGTAATAAAAGCTATGGGAATGTGGTCTCCATCTGGAATTTTCCATTTAGTATTTTCAAATCATGGTTGACCGTAACTGAAACCATGGAACCTGGATGAGGAGGATATGGTGTCTTAGCTACTTTCTTGTTGCTGAGGCACAACACCCAACACCCACAACTAACTCTACAGAGGAGGGGTTTATGTTGGTTCACAGTTTGTAGAGGTTTCAGTCTGTAGTCGGCTGGCTCCGAAGCAGGGTAGCATGGTAGAGGGGCATCGCAGAGGAGAAGCACTTCATAGTGTGGTGGACAAGAAGCAGAGAGACAGCAAGGGAGAAAGGAGGGAGAGAGACCCCTCCAGGCGACCCTTCTGGTGACCCACCTCCTCTGACTAGGCTTCACCCCCCAGCATCACATTTAACTGTAAACTCATTAGGGTATGTGCTGAGCACCACACACCATCTGGTCATTTCCCAAAGTCCCACTTGTGAGTCTTTGGGCAGACATCTAGATATAAACCATAATATGTGTATTGAGTGTATAGGAACAATACCTATGTGGTGTTGGCGTTTCTGCCCAACCCATGACAGAAACCTCAGGAGACAATAACACTTCTACACCCTCAGTCTCTTCACATCTCCCAGTGCTCTTCAACAAGCTAGTAGTGGCCTCTCTGATGGGGCATCCTGGGAGGTGATAACCATAACCCTAGAGGGCCCCAGCCTATGGAACTTTTAGCCACTGACACTCTGGAACAGTCACACCTGTAAGGATGGTCTGTGTGCCCCCCTGGACAGTTCCCTTCAGCACCTCACCCTGCTGGTCTTCCCTTCCCTGGGGTCCTGCACTACTTTGCCTTGTGATTGTGCTGACTTTGGTAGACTCCTGCTGGTCCTCTTGACCCCCTCTACTGTTGGTGACATTTCTCCACTGGAACAATCAAGAGATGTATTCCATGTACT